TATTTATTTTTTTTTTTTAAAAAAAGTGAAGCTGAAATTTTAAATTTATCATGGAAAACGTGATTAAAAAAATGCTCTCCCATGTTTTCATGTCACTGTTGAAACAAAGATTTTTAATCCACAGGTAGAGGCTTATTTTAGCCTCACCCCTGCATTTTAGAGCAGGAAGTGACACTGCATCCCTGTCCCTCATGGCCACATGGTGAGCAGTTAGATCCCATTGTTCTGAAGTAAATCAGTGTGTACCATTAAGAATTGTTACTACCGAAACAAATAGAAGTTTTTGGTAGTGACAAAATTGAATGTTCAATCATTAATTTTAATACAAACACACACACACACACACACATATATTTTCTAAGCCGCTTATCCTTCTGGGTCGCGGAGGGAGCTGGAGCCTCACTGGGCGGAAGACAGGATACACCCTGGACAGGTCGCCAATCCATCGCAGATGAATTTTAATAAAATAAACATAATTACATATAGGATCACTCCAAGCAAAATGTTTTTAGTCTGAATTTCAACTCCATCAAAAGTCCAAAATGTGACTTTGAACCAACTCTGTAGAATGATCCATATTTTATTATTTTGATATATCTTGCAATATAGTAAAGTTGCATTGGTGCATTCATATTGTGGCATTGTTAAAGATGGGCTTGTATTATTTTTGTCTCAAATTATTATTTTTGGCTAATATGAATATTTTCTTCAAAACACCAACAGAAACCCACAGAAAATAATGATACAGATTAACACACGATGTATTGTGCAGCTCTTGGGTCATCTGAGGTTCAAGCCCAAGCCCAGTGAGCATCCTTTCTAAACCTGAGTTGCTTAGGCACCTCGGCACTTTGGGTTTGTTTTCACACAGGTGCTGTGAAATTACAAGCTGCGACCTGGAGGGAAAACCCGAGAGGCCCTTGGGTTTTGCTTTTGAACTCTTAGCGTAGCGGACATGTACTGTGTGTGAATGAAGCTCTTACAGCCCAGCAGGCTCTGACCGGGACCACACTGTGTTTGTGTGCTTGCGCAAGCAGGGCGTGTAAGGAAAGGGAAAGGAAAAGGTCTGGGTCTTTGGTTGAGCAGTGATCACAGTAGCAGAGTTGGTTTGTTTGAGCGGTCTTCAGAGTACTGAGAGGTGAAAAGGTCATTTTATCTGCTCTCTGTCTGTTTGGATGTGATCACCAGCCACCACACTTGTGATGAGTTACTCAGCAGGAAATCAGTCTGTCTTAACAGAAGTTTACATCAGTGAGCTATGACTGTGTAACCCCTCATTTTCATGTGCTTTTGTTCTGTCTTTAACATTTTCATCTGACCACTTGTAAGACTTCTTGTTTAGTAGCTACTACAAATTATTTAGAAACTATGAAACTAATATGCAAGTTAAAATGTTAATGGAGCTTTAAAACTGCTCACAGTTCATTGGAGTTAAAGGAATAGTTTGGAAAAAAATCAAATTTACATATTTGTACACTTACTCCATATGCAGTCCATGAGCCAAGACACGTTTGGTGTGTCAGTTTTCTTTCTTTAGTTTAGAATTGGAGCTAAGAGGCTAACTTTGCTAACAAACACTGGAAGTCAATAGCCACACAAACTACCAAAGCTTCTGTTGACTCTTGTCTCTCTCAAAAACTGCATCCGGTTCTTAATTCAGGTTACACAGAGGAATATGAGCTATTAAAATGATAAAACTTTTCAGGGTAGCTAAAAGAAGGGGCAGCCAGTTAGGTACCAGTTACCACAGTTTGGTATTATCCCGTGCAAGACGGGGTAAAGGATTTGACAACATAGATGCACCATAGGCTATCACAGGTAGAGAAGCTAAGCAAGTGTGCTCAGAAAATCAGTACAGTTGTGAGTCCGGTTATGAATTTGACAGCCCACGTTTTTTGCACAAATGAGCATCAACCATATATTCGAACCTGGTTGTACACATAACATGATGCCCCAGACGCACCTCTTAGCACAAAGCTGATGTTACACTGTATTGTTATAGTACAACCTTCTCTTTATGAAAGGCTTACAGCAAAAAAATCCAGTATGTATATTTCTCAGTAGATGCAGTCCTTATTATTCTACATCATTTGTTTTTTTCATCGCACTATGTATTCACTCCATATGTGTTTTTATTTATTTATTTATTTATTTATTTATTATTTATTATTTTTTTATTATTATTTTTTTAAATCAACTCATCAAGGCCACATAGCGCATGGGGGGAAAAAAGCTCTCTGTGCTCTCTGGGTGAATTCCATCTGCATACTTTCCTTATCTAATCTATCTCCCCAAAAAGAACAGTTTGTTTCTGTTGTCTGAATAATACACGGGGACACCAAGGCAGCATGTTGCATGGGGCAGTGGTGATAGTGGCCTTGTCTCTGCTCGCAGTCACGGAGAAAAGAGTGTGCCATGCTGAGTAGTGATTAAACAGGCTTAGCGAGCTGAAGATGCGTGCTGTAACTGTGGTTAGATTGCAATTAAGCTTTAGGCAGTAACAGTCACATAGTGTGAAACAGGCCTAGGGAGTCTGAGTGGTGCTTAAGCATGCCATTTCATGTTGATAAGAGGTCTTTTTGTGTGGAATCTAGGGCCTAAATCAGCATGAAAACTCTTAGAATATTTTGAGCTGTTTGGTAACATTTTCACCATGTTTACCAAGTACCAGTTATTAAGAATATGTACATATGTCTGGAGGAGATTTGTTTAGCCCATTTTTTTCAGCTTTTTCCAAACCAGTGGCATTTCAGAGTGCTTTACAGACAGATGTTAAAGCTTTACAGTAGTAGAAGAAAGTTTTAATTAAAATCATACAAGGCAATGACTCGGCTCAAATTAAAAAGCTAAATACCAAAAGAGAACAAGAATTTTATTGAAATGCTAAGTTAAACAGACACACATTCAGATGTTCCTTTAAAGTGTGCACTGAGGTTGACTGTCTAATTAAAGCTTGAAATTGAGTTCCATGGTTTTTAAGCATAATAACAGAAAAAGGCCTCTTCACGTTCTCTGTATTTTACAGAGTATTTAAAGAAGGCCAGTATCTGCAGATCTAAAATCACATGGTGAAACATAAACAGACAGACATTTTGTAATGTAAGTGGGCGCTTTAAGGTCATTTAGAGCCTTAAAAAGTAGTAACATAACTTTTAAAATCTGTCTAAAACAGAAAGGTAGTCGGTGCAGTTCTTCCAATAGAGGAGTGATTTGAGCTCTCGATTTTGTTTTTGTTAGGATCCGTGTTGATGCATTTTGTACGAGTTGTAAAGGATGTATTGTTTTCTTAGGAAGTCCAGTAAGAAGAGCATTACAGTAATCAACTCTGCTGTAACAAATGCATGAACAAGTTTCTCTGCGTCGCTCTGAGATAGAAAAGGCTGAATGTTAGCAATATTTCTCAAATTACAAAAAGCTACTTTGGTGACTACATTTACATGTGGGATAAAACAGAGCTCACAGATTTCTGCTTCATGCTTGGTATACGATGCAAAAGAACCTAGCTTCTCTTAAAGCATTTTTCTTTGAATTTTAGTACCAAAAATCAGTATTTCAGTTTTTTCTTGATTTTGTTGTAGACTATTATGTGACATCCGCAAAGAAATAGGCTTACCAGCTATGTGTCAGATGTCAAAAGAGTCTAGATTTTCAGAGGGAATGGAGATGTATAGATGCATATCGTAAAGGAGGACACAGGTCACTGGTTGAAGTTTGGATGGGAGAGCATGGGAAAGTTTTCAAAGAAGGTCCCTCCCTTTAATAAAATGAGTCAGTCTGCTTGGTAATTTAAGGTGTAAACAGGAAAACCGTTTGTGTTATTTGACCCAAATTCTACTAAGTATTTAATGCTGTTTTTGTAAGGTTGTATCAGAGGTTTAAATGTGGCTTTTAGTTTCAGTTTTCAAGTCTCTCCCCATTTAAACCAATAGGAGCCTTGTCTTGTATGAGTGGAAATAGCTTCCTGGGGTTTTGCCAAGATGGCCGTTGAGTGGACAGACTTTCCCATTAGGACTTTGATTAAAACATAAAACAAGTTGAATAATGTGAGAAATCATTAAATTTTCACATTGCGATGTTGATGTATAAAAGCAATTCATCTTCCAGGTCTAACTGTAATAAAGATAGTAAGAATTAAGAAGTAAGATAGTAGATTTTTATCTTTAGCAGCTGTTTTGCATCTTGGTCGCTCTGAACAAGCCGAACAAATGAATAATGCTAATGGGCCGAAATACGTTCTTGTGTGAAGTAACTGAACGACCTGCCTTAGATGACAGGCTTTTTCTGACAAGCCAGCACTACACATTTGGGCACTTTGTAGCATAATAAGCTACTAATCGTGTAATATATTCATAAGATAGTGAAGTGAGCTGCTAGTTTATCTGCATGGCTGAGCTGCAACCGTGTTATAATTTTCCATTTTCCGCACTCACACTTTCAGCGCAGCCACTCTCTTTAACTTTTAATGACTGCAGGATATTCCTGGCATGAGGGTTATAATAGACAAGTCATTTTCAAAGATACATCAAGATAGGCCTAATTAGCTTTTTTTGACAACTATCTTGCAAGTCAAAGCGATGTGCCTTTTGTAACGCTTGATAATTTACGCTGAGTGCCTCCTTGTGGATTTATGAGACATAACATTGACTTAGAAAGCTGGTGTTTTATTGCAGTTATGTATCTGACTTATTTTCTTTGCATTACATTAATGCATTACAAATTTGAACATATTCAAGGAGGAAAAGAGAAAATTAATTTTTGCCCCAATTTGACAGTCCTAGTCTTGTGTTTCAGTTAATAACTCCCATTAACAGCTTACACTATTTAAAAAAAAAGAAATTATATTGTTTATATTGTAAGAAATTATAACTGTCTGTGCATTTACTGCTGAACTATTCTGATGATAAAGCAGTGAATATTTGAATAGTAATTCTGACTGTTTCGTCAAGCCTTTATGTGCCTGTGTTTGTCTGGTGATTGACTGTGTGCTCTGCTTATCACAGAGAAAGCCACCGATGGCTCCCTGCAGAATGAGGACTGGACGCTGAACATGGAGATTTGTGACATTATTAACGAGACAGAGGAAGGGTGAGTGCACACGCAGAGTTGGCTGATGACTCACTGCAGCTCTGGCTGACTCACTCTCTGGAAAACAGACTCTCTTTTAAAGCAGATTGAATGGACATGATTCTCGCTGCATTGTGTGTGTTCTGGTGGCTAAGTAAGTACTCCAGGAGGTTTAGACACTATAGAGGTTTCTCATGACTGCACTGTTGGCATAAACATATTACCCTATTTCACACCCTCTCTCACTGAAAATGATCTCTCTCTGTCTGTCACTCAGACTAACAGAGACACACACACATGGCTGGCACCACAGGCCTGCCTCTGTTCTATATGAGAGAAAAGAGAGTTTTGTGTTGCAGGACAACAGCAGGTTACTTAGGCTGGGCCTATTCTCTGTGTCTGAGCTTGTGGGAGATTGCAAGAATTTGAGCTATGTCCTGTGTCTTTTTCATACAGACTCTCTTTGCATAGTCTATATGGTGAGCATGTGTTCATTATGGAGTTTAAATAACAATATGATTTTGATATCTGGCAACCCTCTACTACTTATGTACATATTAAGTCAAACATTGAAGGGGTTGTCAGCTTAGTTTCTAATATTAACAATATCTCAATGAGCCTAAAGATATGTGCCTTGGTGGCTGTTAACCAGTTGTAGTTTTGAAAGTGTACATTGTCGCTCTTCAAAGAAAAACAAGTGACTCCAAAATGACAACTTTACAGGAGAAGGCAAAAACGTTATTTTTTGTAGTTAATGTAAGTTAAATAATATAAATGTAATTTAATTTTGTGGCAGCTGCCATACTTAAATGATGAAGGGGGGGCATGGTTTAAAAAATGGAGATACTTGTTTTTATTTAGACAGAGACAGTATCCTTAATTAGTAGCCTGTCAGTAGTAGACTGTGAACCGCAGTAAGAGGGCAATCACATTCTTTTTTGTTTTGAACTAACCAAACCTGCCCAGTCTGAATGCACACTTAATGTGGTTTATTAGAACCAATGAGGACACTGCTTTGGCATGCATGTACCCGACCCCCGGGGTACAAGAGCCTGCAGGAAGGTGGAGCCCGAATTCCAAGCGAAGATGGAGTCCCGCGAGGAGGGCGGGGCTCGGGACTCGCGTGCAGTTCCCCACTCAGTTTCCCCACCGTCTTTGCGGGGCTTCGTTTTCGCCCTGTGTTCGGACCCCACCTTCCTCCCGGCTCTCGTGGCTGTCATTGGGGTCCGGGGAACAGGCGCATGCCACAGCTGCCTTTTGAGAATGTGAGGCTTGGTCCACTTACAAATGATCTCTGGTGCAGGTCATTTAAGGTATTAACATAATATGGACACAATATGGACCAAAGACAGATGAACCAAAGACATCTCCCCTCTTCTTTTCTATGTGCAACAGATGCATTTCTGTTGCTTTTTGACCCTTGCATTCATTTTAACATCCCTTCATGACTTGGTGATTTATAAAATGGGTAGTTGCGGTTTTAAAACATGTCTGAGGCACATTTGGAGCTGTTGTGTAATACTCAGTATGCACACGCTGTCTGTACATGTATCAATGTGCCAACTTTTTGCCATGTAAGTCACTCAAGGCCTTTGGCTCAGTGATTTTTACTCAACTTGACATCATTTGAAAACCACAGTAAGGCATGGCCTTATGTGGCTTACTGCTTTAGAGTGTACATAAAACACAGTGCAGCCAGAGTACAGCATAGCACTGAAAACTCGGTGGATATATAATCAGTAAAAACCCTTACACAGAACTCTTTAACTAACAGTAAACAGCATTAAAGAGGTCTAGAAAATACGTTGAAAGCCCCTTGAAAATACAGGTGGTTATTTTGATGTTGAAATTCTGAGGCAAATTTTACATTGTCCCCGCCGTCAAACACAGTAACTGTTTTTTAAATGGCCTTCATCCCCTCTTTGTAGTTCTGAGTGGTACTTAAGAAAGGTGACTGAATGAGAAAGAGCCTTGCCAATGCCTACAATCTTGCACATCTATCTCTAGGTTTATTTAAAAAAAAAAAAAGCTCATTACTGTTTATGTCACTAAAGGCGTAGCTTTGATCCCATTGCAGAAAACTCTGCCAAGTCTTGCGTAACCCCAGTAGCTTCGAAATCTGCCCAATCTGCTTTGTATTCTGTCAGTGCTTTTCAGGTTTGGAGATCATGAACACTTGTAATCTCCCCTGTCTTTTTGTCTTTCAGTGTCTTGGTCTCTTTCTCTTTTGTAGCCAGCTATTTTGCCTTTAGCATTGTGATTGCTGTGGTTCACTTTGCCTCTTGAGGGGGAAAAAAAAAAAAATCATAGCGATCATGACCAGCATAAGTGGGCTTGTAGTTAGTGACCACAGCCTCAATGTTCAATGCTAATCCAAGATTAATGTTGTATAATTACCATGCCAGCAATCTTAATCCATTTAGATCAACACTTCTTTAATCTCTTCCTCTAATCCACTGTTTGCGCAGGCCTAAAGATGCCATCCGCGCCATCAAGAAAAGGCTGAATGGCAACCGAAACTTTCGGGAAGTGATGTTGGCTCTGACTGTGAGTACAGCTGGCTGAGGGACCATATTTGGTGGGGGCAGGTCTATGGAGAGCACCCCCTGCTCATTAGACCTTAACAAGCCTCAGTGTACCGTTCAACTAAGTCTCAGTGGAAAATCTGGCATGTTTGTAGCGTTCCTGCTACTTTCCCTGATTAATGCTTGACAGTGAGCGAGCGTGGAGCATTTCTGCTATACCAACCAGAGGCTGTTTATATTTCCTTAATGAGCTGATTTGTGCCTTCTCAGCTTCATGCCTTCTTCTGCTCTTTGATATTCTTGGCTCATTAGCTTAAAGCCTCTCTTGGCTGTCAGACAGAATCATTTGAACTTGCTGTTATTGTGCAAACATAATTTATCAGTGGGTTTTGGAACTGAAGCCCCATCTATTCCCCCAGGTGCTGGAGACTTGTGTGAAGAATTGCGGCCATCGCTTCCATGTGCTAGTGGCCACCCGTGACTTTATCGATGGCATACTGGTGAAGATCATCTCTCCAAAAAACAATCCCCCTTCCATAGTGCAGGACAAAGTGCTGGCACTGATTCAAGTATGTGATCTAATGTAATTTGAGCAGTAGGACCTAACTGATATGAATTTTTGTCACTCATACAGATTTTAAGGAGCTATACATTTTATTACATTATAATTTTATATGCTCAAATTCCAGTAGATGTAACAGCACTTTACTGACTGATATTATTTGTCAGTAATGATGTTGCAATGAAAAAAGATTTTAAAATGAAAAATTCTCATAAACGAGCCATTCTTCTATACAGTATGAAACAAGCCATATACACACACACAGTTGAATGCAAAAGTTTGGGCGCCTCTTAACAAATTACATGTTTTGTTGATTTTCTAAGTGAAAATAAGTTAACACATCCTCTGCAGAGAACAAACGTTTGCATATTTTACTGCACACTTTCTGCTTTATTTGCTGATTGTAACATATTGGACAAAAAAACATTAAATGTACAAAAGTTATGGCACATTTATATTTTATGTTTTATTTTTCCCAGTATTTTAGAGTCAGCAAATAAATAGAAGTTGTGCACTGCAGTGTGCAGAAAAATAAAGAAAATATGTACATCTGCCTGTCATGAAAACTGATGAAATGCTGAACATAACTTCCTTCTCAAAATAATACTGCAGTCACACAAATTCTGTCTTCTTCTTTGACTTCTTTGACTTTGAATTTTTTATTTTCATGGTGTCATACTCAGTGGGGCTGCAGAGTTAATCTGATGAGCCTGGTGCAGAGGGAAAGTTAGTATTAACTTGAACGACAGTCAGAATTCATTTATTTGCTTCAGAACATTTTTTCTGCTTGTTAGCCATTCAGCTTCTTCCGTCACCTTCACTGTATGTCAGTTATTCTGACATAGCCAAGGCAACGTGGCGATGTCTGTGTTTTTAACAAGACTGTATTTTCTTGCAGGCCTGGGCAGATGCATTCAGGAGCAGTCCAGACCTGACAGGAGTTGTCCACATTTATGAGGAGCTGAAGAGGAAAGGCATCGAGTTCCCCATGGCAGACCTTGACGCTCTGTCACCCATACACACACCCCAGAGAGTACGACATCCAGCACATGATACACTGAGCACTGTTTTTAAGTAGTGTAAAACATGCGCTGATTGTTGCTGTTTTAACAAATCCTAGTATTGTGCTAGAACGTTTATTAAAACAACTGTTTTCATTTTTCTGTCTGTCTTTTCAAACTTTTTTTCCAATGTTCCTTTAAAATGTCCTTCAAACCTTCTTCCAAACTTCCTTTCTTCAAACCACCTTTCTTCCAAACTTCATTTCAAACTAATGTCCTTCTAAACCTCCATCCAGACTTCCATCCAAACTTCTTAACCTCCAGACTACCTGACTTCCAGGCGCTTTTTATCCCTTTAATGCATTTTATCCTGTGTGTTGATCAGGGAGTTCCAGAGGTGGATCCAGCTTCACATAAGTATAAAGCACCTCCTCAGCCCAAACCAGCATCCCAAACACCTCAGAAGGCTGCTGCTGCCCCAACTACTGACTTCAGCACTGCACCGATCCCCAGCATTACTGGGCCCATCTCAGTCAACCCGGAACAGGTTAGTCTCATTGCCCCAGTGACTTAATATTAATACTACATATCTAATACATGAATGAACAAAAGTGTTGTGTTCTTACAAATGGTTTTCTGTTAAGTTTGTGTTTCAGCAGTGTTTTGTACCTGGCCTTTAAGCTTGATTTACCCATAAGACCCATAACTATAAGAATTTACTGTATGTTAAGAGATAAGAGATAACTAAACTGTCTTGCTCGTGTGTGTGTGTTTGTGTGTGTGTGCGTGTATGTATACGTTAACAGATTGCCAGGCTGAGGAGTGAGCTAGACATTGTGCGTGGGAACTGCAAAGTGATGTCAGAGATGCTGACCGAAATGGTGCCAGGACAAGAGGAGGCTTCTGACCTTGAACTCCTCCAGGTCTTAAATACCCCCAGTTTCCTTTTCATATACAGTATTGTACAAAAAGCAGAGATCACCCTTTTCTTTAATTAATTTCCAGTCAAAACAGCCACTAAATGCAAGTTATACATTTTTGAGTGTTAGGAAAACAGCAAGGAATGTTGTAATATGAAATCTGTCATTATTTACTTTTAAAGCCAGTGCATTAACACAAGAAACTACCCAAACTTTGCAGATTTATTTCTCATGTGCATCTAAAATGTCTTAAGGAGATATTTAGAGTTATAAGATAACATATTTTTAGAGAAATAAGATAATCCACTTGCATACAGAAAGGGAAAGTGAAGGGATAATAAGTGGGGGAAAAAACAGGAGCTTCCAAATACTGATGTTAAAAAAATGAACTGTGCTACCCCTGGCAGACCACCGAAACTGTCACCATCAGATAAACAGTACTTAAAGCTTTCATCTTTGAGAGAGGAGAAAATCAAGCTTTACTCTTGCATCACATCTGCAAAATCCACAGGGGTTTCTGTCCATCCTTCCACTGTGAGAAAACAACTCAACACTATGAGTCTAAAAGGATGTGTAGCTGTCAAGAAGCTATTCCTGAATAAAAGAAATTTGGAAGAAAGTTTGCAATAGGACACCGAAACTGGACATGAGTGATTGATGAGTGAAAATTTGTGGTTGATAGAAAATGCAACCAGTTTCTAAAAATAACCTTTGGAGATGTGGAATAATATGTCTGCAGATGTCTTTAAAAACTGAAAGCAAGTCTCCCAAAAAATGGAAGCAATAATAAAGGCAAAGAGTGGACACACTGGAAAAAATGTGATATTTGTTTGTCGGTATAAGAAAAAAGCTGAAAATTACACAAGAGTGTCAACAACTGAATGGCTGTTTTGACTAGAAAGTAAATAAATGAAAAAAAATGGTCTCTGGCTGTTGCACTATGCTGTACACATGGCATTCATTCATATAGGAGTGCTTGATTTTATATAGTCACAACTTTGCTCTTGCTGTCTCTAACATGATTTAACAGTGGTCAGTTCAGAATACACCACTAGGGGGAGTAGTAACACAGCATAGACCAAGAGCTGCTAGACGGAAACACACAAGATAGATTTGTGATCTGTTGCCACTGTAGAGTTAGATGTTGAAACATTAGAACAGTACAGTTACGCCCTGGGTAGATCTGTTTCTAAACCATTAAATGAAACTAGGTACAGTACTACACATGCACAAATGATGAGAACTCTTCTGTGTGAGCAGGAGTTAAACAGGACGTGCCGGGCCATGCAGCAGAGGGTAGTGGAGCTCATCTCCCGCGTCTCCAATGAGGAGGTCACAGAGGAGCTGCTGCACGTCAATGATGACTTAAACAACATCTTCCTGCGATACGAGAGGTAGATGACCACCATGTTTTCCAGTTATCATTGATATTTTGTAGGTTTATCTAATAATAACATGTAAAATGTAATGATGCTGGACAGTTTAAATTGAGTTATCCATGCTCGTGGAGAACTTTTACAGAATATGCATAAAAATCTTATTCAATTAAAGAAATTGTACTGCACTCAAAATACAGAAATTTAACATGCGTTATTCATTTCAAATTATATTTATTTTCTAAGGATGTTAAAGATCAATCTGTAAGAATATGTTAGGAGTAGTTTTGTAGGATATTAGAGGTTTTTTTTAGAGATAAACATATACTTGATAAGCTGAGCAGAAAGTTCACAAGAAGCTTAATCTGTTTTAACTTTACAAGTTCACTAAGTTAGCGCTAAAGCCTACACTACTGTCTACTGTACACTGATTAAGTTTGTATACAGTGAGAAGCACAAATATTGGGATATTTAGAAATAACAGTCAGAAATCAGTAATTTTTGTTATGTTTATGATATTTATGTTCTAGAATGTCTAAAGAATGTTAGTTTTACTTTTTTTGGGTGATTTTCCATTCATCATAAAACATACAGGAAAAAAATACTAGGCAAGCTTGTAACAACAAAATAACCCTTTTTGGTGCTATTTAGACCCTTTTTCAAAAATGTTATATATAGAACCATAGAGGTTTGCCTTCACCCTCCTAGTGTAATTGAGGGAGTCCTAACTAGTGGGTGGAACTGGATACCACTAAACTGGAGAGGTAATTGCATATAACATTTTTTATACATAAAAATGCAGCTCAGCATGCTTCAGAGTAAAATTAAATGAAACAGTAAAATAAAACAGTAAGTGTATGCAAAACAGTGAGCAGCATAATGGAAGAAAACAAAAATAAAACATTTGTTAAAAAAGAAACATAAAAGAGCTAGAGAAATCAAGAGAGCATTTAGAAACAAAAATGGGGGAAAAAATGAAAATTGAAATGAAAATGAAAGTTGAAATTGTAAAATAGGATTCTAAATAAATCCTAAAGGAATATAGAGCAACAAAAATACTAAATGAAATAAAAAGGTTTCTTTCTCTATTTATTTAAACCATGAATGGTCAACCCACTCCTTCTATGCTTAAAAGCCTATGGGCTCAAGACTTTGGGAAAGACATATGTGAGACATGGCAGGCAATAGTGCCATGTGTCCACACCTCTTCTGTAAGTGCCAAACATGGGGCAATACAGTGTGAACTGCAGCAGCTGTACAGGACCAAAACTAAACTTTTTAGATTTTTTGGAAATGTGGACTAGAGGTACCATAATACCACAGGGTACTCCAGTATTTTGTGGAGTGGGGTCGTACACGGGAGATGATGGTTAACCAACACAGTGCAGGCAGGAATGGGACAACATGTACATGTACAGAAATCCTGCAAATTAATGAACAAACCTTTAAAAAATAATAACAATCACTTAATAACTGGAATATAAATAATATCTGACAGCAAAAGAACAAGATGTAAAGAAAACTCATTGTAAACAGAAGCAACCAATTGCCTATGTGAATTGTGTTCTTGTAGGCTACCTATGCAACATGCTTTTAGATAGTCAGATGGCCACACCTGTGAAAAGTGCTCTTCATAAAGGCGATTACACAATAATAAAACTGACTCAAGGGAAGTCTGACCTGTGGCAGTCATTTTCAGTCATGACTAATGCATATGGAAATCATTTAGACAGGTCTGCAGGTGGGAGCGGGACAAAATCTTGTGGGAGAGGGACTAAAAAATTGGTCCCTAGTGTAGACCCTAACTGTGACAGATGTCATCAAGCCCTGCCAAATTATATCATGTGTCCTGGGCCTGTCCTCCTTTGCAGACAAACTCCATATTTAGTTCACTGTCAGACATAAGTGTCCGTTCCCTCTCCAGTTATTGCACTCTTTGGCGTCTTTCCTGTCACCCACTCTTTATGTAGATACATATCCAATCTGGTAGCATTTGGGTCTCATAGCAAGTCAGCTCATTTTGATGAACTGGAGAAAACAAACCCACCTTTCCAGACATGTTGAATCAGAGATTTACTGTATTTTCTGAAACTGGAAAAGACTACATAGACTCTTAAAGGCTCCATAGCTAAATATTATTGTTAGTTGTGGGGGGCCTTTTTTAGCACATCTGGATAAAATGGATCTGTCAAACACCAATTAGGTACATTTAAAGTGACTTTCTTCTATAATTTTGTCTTTAACTGTTGCCTGCTGAACTAATTTGGTAACTGGACCACACATTTTCTAACTGTGCATATCCACACTCTAGTTTGTCTGTGCATGTCTAGCTAGTATGGTTTTGTGTTTTCTTTTCTTTCACTTTTTCTTTTTTTCCCCTCTCCTCATCTTAAAATTGATAAATATAAACAAAGCATTTGTGAGCACAGCATAGATAGCTAAGTAATAGATTCCAGTACTTGTCTTGGGAGTTTATGATCTCTGCTTGCTCTGGCTAACTGGCTACTTGTTAGAAGTGTTAGCGCTTGAATCAGCATGCTTAGATCATAGAAACATCCAATCTCTAATCTAATAACTAGAGAAACTGTGCAGTACTGAAATACTCCCAGATTTAGATTGCAAAGCCATTGTGTTCTTCTTGGTATCTGTTGGTATGTTTCTTTTTTTCTTTCTTTTGTTTGATTGTTTGCTTCTGTGGTTGCAGATATGAGAGATACAGAGTGGGCCGAGTAGCACAAAATAACGGGGTGAGATTTTACTTCACTGCATTTACATTGATCTGTTACCTAGTCCATAAAATTCTGCCTGAGATATGTTTTTGGTTTATTGCTCTGCCATCAGTATTATTTACTTGATAGAGAATAATTCTTTGTGCACAAGCAGAGCTTGTTTGTGTGTTGCTTTGCACTGTCAGTGCCCTTCTGGTGTTTCATACTGTTGTGTCTGTAGTTTTTTGCCAGTGATAATGCATGCTTATGTGTCGATGGTTATTTTATTTTTCTATTCGTTTTGTGTTTGTGCAATGACCAGCTGAGGAAGGCAAGTATAACAGAATTCTGGCATATATGGTAAATGTGGAAGTCAAAAGAGAGAAAAGTTAAAACGTAGTCGGTTTGTGAGTGCTTAGCACAGCCTCAGCCTGACCTGGTTTGTATGACATATTTTGACTTCAAACTCTCTCTAGAAAGCACTGGAACAGTCCTCTTCCCCTTTTATCCTGCTCTGTCTCATAAACACACTCACAATAGCCTATTGTATATTGATCCTGTAGCCAGTGTCATTGTGTCTTTATTCTTTATTCCCTCATAACACCGTCTCCTCTGCAACCCTGATAACATGGAGAGCAGCACTGCAGCTTTTGATAATTCCGAGAATCCTCCACTCTCCTGTAAATGTAGAAGTGGATTTGAGTGCATAGCTATAAACCCACATTCTGTGCAGTGCATTATAGTCAGTCATTTGATTATGTGTATGTGTTCATGCACAGGTGTTGAATGAGGCTTCTGAAGAGGATAATCTGATCGATCTAGGTCCTGGCTCTCCGGCTGTGGTCAGTCCTCGGGTCAGTGCTGCAGCCACCCCAACGCCGTCTGCCAGCCAGACGCCGCCTGCTGCTGCCGCCACCTCCCTCTCCACACAGCTCGCAGGACTGAGTGAGATTTGTGCATGAACACTTTCATGCAAACATTACAATACTGTGCAAAAGTCAGAGACCACTGCTCATTCGTTTAATTTCCAGGCAAAAAATAAGTACAAGTTATTCATTTTATCCATTTGACGGTGTTCTGTAAAAAAAGAAACAAAAAAAACAAAAAAGCAGTAATCTTGTGCTTTACATTACGTGAAAATTTCATGATTGGACATATAGATATGCTCCAAAATTGCTTGGAAAAATCTCTTTTATTTAACTTGGATTAAAAATTAAGGAGGTTTTGCCCTCCCATGTAAAGTTAGCATTTTAGAGGTATTTTGACAGTTTGACAGAGACAAATGGACAGTAATTCTTGAATCAGTTACATTGTTCAGTCAATACTGATTTAGAAAGACAAAAGTTACTGTTATCAGGCCTTTGAGAGGGTCAAGAGAGTGCAACACTATCAGTGGTTGTAGTTTATCATAGACTGTTTGCTTTGTATGATGTCGTTGGTTCTGGATGTGTATTTTATGTGGAACACAATGGTTTATGGCACCCAAACCATTTCTAAGAAATCAGTTAGTAAAATAATATTGTCACATTGTACAAAAACACAGTCTTTTGCAAAATTTTAGGTGCCCCAGGTAAAAAACCATTTTGTTGATTTTAAGTGAAAATAGGTTAACACATCCTCTACAGAGAACACACTTAAATGTGTATACACACACACTTTTTTATATAATAATTTCTATAATAATATAACAATATATGTTTTAATATGTATAATATAGCTTTTGCATAGGCCACATTTTGTGTTTTATTTTTTCCACTGATATGTAAAATTCAGCAAATAAACAGTAATTATGCTTTAAATGTGTGTTCTCTGTAGAGGATGTGTTAAGGCTCCAGGTGTTTTTTTTTTTTAAGAAGACCAACACATCCATGTTTTTTGGGCTTGAGGCTTGAATGCTAAATGTAGTGTGCCGCACTGTCAGTTCACAAGATCTGTGCTGTTAGTTTAATTTTTCCCACTTAAAGGTTGTTAAGACACAGTAGAAAATTGTAGGTTATACTTAAAATTGCACTCTATCAAATTGCAATTTTGATATAAAAATTATTATTCAGTCCTACACACAAAATATGTCGGTAATTTAGTTAACTAAATGATACCATATTTATTAGCTTGTATGGTTATGATAGTAACATTTGATTCTGGTAAACATATGATTTGCTATGCTTGTACCAGAATATTCCTGCTTGGCTAATGTAACCTGTGCATCTTCCTGTAGATATAGAGGCAGAGAGTGTGAGTGGAACTTTGAGCTCACTATCTACCCGCAACCCTCATGACGACTTTGACATGTTTGCCCAGACCAGAACCAGCTCTCTTGCTGAGCAACGCAAAAAGTAAGGCCTGCAAAAATGTGCTCTTTAACACAGCTGTAAAGTTTTATTTGTTGATTTGTTTGTGATGTATGCCTCTGCAGCCATTTTCTGTGGCTCAGTGCATTCACATGATCCAAGAAACATTAATAATTTGTCAAAATAATGCAAGCCAAGCTTTATTCATTTCATCAGAGGTTTTAGTATATTCCAAAGCAAAATGTAGCAATATATTGACAGTATGGTACAATCATATGCAAAAGTTTGGGCTTGCCGATCAGATGACGTTTGGCTGATTATCTAAGTGAAAATAAGTTAACATGTCCTCTACAGAAAACACACATCTGCACATTTTAATGCACAATTACTGTTTATTTGCTGAATTAAATATATTGGAAACCACAACATGAAATGTTGCAAAATTATGGCACATTATATATTTTATGTTTTATTTTTTTCCTAACTTGTTAAACTCAGCAAATATATAAATATTGCACTGTAAAATTTGCGGAGAACTTGCATATTTAAGTGTGTTCTCTGTAGAAGATGCGTACTAATTTCACTTAGAAAATCAACGGAACTTGTCATTTTACTGGAGATGTTTAAACCTTGCATATGACTGTATTTTGTATATATGCAGCCTGTTAATACAGTGAGTATTAATGGAATACAGTTGTTACATAAAGAATTTTAAAGCAACTGCCTAAATTTATTCCTCAAAATGCACTCTCTCCTTTGAGACTGATAATTGGCTTCATTTTTTGGCAGGGGTTAGGAAATTTCAAGTCTGATTAAAATTAAAAAGTACTGACCTTTTTCCCAATACAGTTCACCCCTCATGCAGTGTCACTTTGTCTCTAAACACTTCTCTTTCACCTGTTTCAGCGTGAAATATGAAGACCCACAGGCTCTCGGTGGCCTGGCATCCGCTTTGGACATCCGACAGCAGAATGCTGCCGGGGTGAGTACTGTGCTGCATGCTGGCAATTGTGGTTTTAACTCTTTGCCCCACCCATCGTGTGGTGAGGTTGGGGCTGTGTGTAGTGTTAATGCCTGATGAAACTCTAGTGATGTTCTGAGTAGTTGATCTTTGCATGGCCTGAGCTTTAATACACTGTCGTCCTCTGTTTCAAGCTGTGAAGCTGTAACTCACCCTGTTAGAGCACACATAACTCCTCTATAGTAATACAGTAGTTGTAAATGGCTAATCTTAAGTAGAGACAGCACTAGCACACTGGCTTTGCATGCACGTGGAATTCATGTTGCATTTCTCTTTTGACTTGGGTGCTCAGTAGATATAAAATATATATAAAAGTTTGAATTTTCAGATGGTACCCTATTTGTTTGTTGCCACTGTTAGGAGGTAGTAGCAAAGCTGACTGAAATCAGTATCAGTTCATCCCTGTATATTTTAATATCAGTGAATGAAATTCTTCCTTTCTTTATGACAAAGAATTCTCAGTGATTACCAATTTAGAAGTTAGCGCAATTTGAAAAAATATATTTATTACGCTTCCATCTTGGGGCAATAGCCTTTTTTTCATGTGTATTTTGGGCATTTAATATTAGCGATACTCTGATCCAATACTCTGGATTCATATTGGCAACAATACTGACATCATGATCGGGTATTATCTAAATGTGATATATTCACTGTCAATACAGTTTTGTAGACAAAGTCGCTCTAAAATAGAAGTGTCATTCCAAAACATGATACACAGCAAGTTCTAAGTTTAAGTTATAAATATTAATGGAACCGAACTCTCAACATACAGTTAGTAATTATGAAGGATCACATTACAGGCAAACTTGTCCAAGGAGGTAAAATGAGTTTCTTTACAAATAGGAATTGCATGTTTAATGTGTTGCTCTACAAAGCGCTACAGTGCCAAAATGAAAGCCCTTATTAGCAAAGCATAAAAGCCCTGTCCAGGAGCACTTATCTAATTCTACAGTGATCAGTTAGACTTTGTAGCCCTAAAATAAATTAGAAGAATATGGTTGATTATGCAGTACTTGTCCAGTGTGCCTTAATGTGTTCTTAATGTGTCCAAAATTTTTAAAAATTAAAATTTAATATTTCAAGTTTGAATGCAACCCTTGAATTGTAACAGCACATTATATGAAAAAAAAAACATTGTAATGTATCTGTACTTAATATTGGCCAATATCTGGAATTCATGTTTTGGAATCAGCATCTGGAGAAAAAAGTTGGGTCGGTGAATCCCTATTTGATGTGAACATTGATGTTCATTTGTTTGGACAGTTTCGGCTTGTGTTTTAATTATACACTGATATCACAGACAAAACTACACAAGACTTCACTACCTAATTGGTAGAATTTGGCATATGCAAATCAGGTAAACTGTACTGGCAAATCCTGAAATTAACCACAATGACAGCTTTATGATACTTTTTCTTAAATAATTGCAGAATCTGGTTCGGTCTCAGATAGTCTGTTTGCATCCAAATATTGCCAACCTTTAGTCTGTGAACAGACATAGGTTGGAGATATTATGAAATCTTCATTACACTATGTCACTAAACACATGGGGACTGATTACAGCTGGTCTCTGCTGCCAAGCACTGTTCTGCTGCAGAGTGTGTCGAAATCTTCAGGCTAAAGCCAGGTCGAAGTGTTACTACAGGACAGAGCTGGAGCTTGGTGATCAGCCCACGGGTCAAAGTTTATTCTTTTTTTTTTTCATCCCACCTGCTTTGATATATTCTGATATCATTTTATCATTTCTTTTTCTGGAGTTTTCTCGGTTTCTATACGTAACTTAATACCTACTTTTACCCTGTGTTGATAGAAAGCAGTCACATGTCATTTCTATGTTTCTGTTTCTTTCTTTCTTGCTCTTTCTCTCTATCTCTCATATTCTCTCTCTCAGTCTGGGATGGGTGGGGATGGTGATTTTCTGCTTCACATTTGTAAGGTGTTTTCTGTTGTTGTGATTCAGCTGAGTGTAAAAGGTGATAACGCAGAAATGGAGCCCATAGACAGCTGGCTCATTACCCAAGGAATGGTGAGGACTTAGCACAGTAGCACTGTCTCCTCAGTGTCCTCCCGCATCCGTCCACACTGTCACCCCCTCATGCCCGTCTCCCTCACCACTGCTAAACCAGTCCACTCCACACAGTAAAAGGGATAGCCCTTCATATCCGAGTCCACACAGGTCCAGTCATTAGACTAATCTCTGACTTTGGCAAATAAACCTTAGTTGTGATATCTTGTGAATTTTCATTATTTAATTGAATTGCGCGATTTCTATTCGGTCCATTTTATTATAGTGAGTATTTTCATTGTGAAGAATAATGCACCCTGCATGCATTTTACTATTTATAATAAATCATTGCATTGTTTGAATGACAATTCTACCAATTTTTTTTTTCAAAATTTCTGCATAATTAAATGGTCAAGATGAAAACTAGAGAAACTTACAGAGTCAGAATTGTTCACAGTGGTGGTGATAGGAACCAGATGTCTAAAGTGTTTGATGCTTCTAAAAGCAACATCAAGTTTTTACTTAAAATGTTTGTGAATACATGCCTGATGTCTGAGATACTGTTTTACAATACTTTTGAGAGAAGGTTTTGGCCAAAAATTGATTTTTTAAAAACACATTCATGGCAGAGAAGTATACAAGGTGTTAAAAGGCAAAATAATACCCCAATTTTTTAAAATCTTTTTTTATCATTATCAACGCTACATATTAGACCCAGAAGGTATGTGTAGGTTCACTGGTCATTGTGTATAGCAAATAAAATTACTATATTTACATTGTAGACATTGCAACCCCTGGTTCCTATCACCACTACTGTAAAGAAATTTGAGTCGGTACGTTTCTCAATAATGCACCATTTCATATCAAACCACTCTGAATGACTTTGTTTACACCTCAACAATGTAATTATGCAGAAATTTTGAAAAATTGCAATTCCCCTTTAATATTTTAGTCGTTTTTTTACATTAACTCTCCCTTTCTCTTGAAACGGAAAACTCTGACCTCTTAGAGAGGTGTAGATAATTAAATTGCGCTCTGTGATGATAAACCCCATTGGTAGGAGTCTTTCTCTTCTACATCTCAAAGCCGAAGCTTTTCAGAAACTTCATGGTCTGCTGCTTCCTTTCGGGGCTTCTCCTTTCGCTCTGTCCCTTTTACTGTGGGTCACACCATCCTCCTCCATCTTCACTGCATTCGCTCACTGGTAGAATGAAAAGGCCTGTTTGTTCCATTGAATAGGTGTGGATTTTCATCACATACAAACAGGCCCTGGCTTCTGTCACAAAGGTTAACACAAGAGCAGCCAGCCCTTGTTCATGGAAGGTTCTAGAACCACGTGTTCAAGCTAGCAAAAGCTTGTATTCACTGCACCTCTGAAAAAGGAATGATCCCTGATTTTCTCAGAGAGGGTAACATCTGAATGAAACTAATACAGTTTAGAAATCACAGACCTAAACATGTTTGGTACCTATAGGACTATTAAGATTAATTATATGGTCAGGTCACTTTGCATTACGCAGTATGAAACATTATTGTCCATTGCAATCTACTATACTGTGCAAAAGTCAGAGGCCACTTTCATTCCAGTCAAAATGGCCATTAAGTACAAGTTATGCATTTTTCAGAAGATGATGAGGTCAGATATAAGATAATCCACCTGAATAAGGGAGGGAAACATCAACGGGAGATAAGTGGGGAAGAAAATGAAAATTTCCAAAACTGGAATTTAAGATACAGAGAAAATGGGACTTGAACAACCAAGCAAGAGCTGATAGACCACTAGAACGGTCACCCTTTAGATAACCGGTACTTAAAGCTTTCATCTTTGAGAGAGAGGAGGAAATCAAGCTCCACTCTTGCTTCAGATCAGAAAAAATCAACAGGTATTTCTGTCCATCCTTCCACTATGAGAAGACAACTCAGACAAATGCTGTGAGTCTGAAAAGATGTGTTGCTGTCAAGAAGCCATAATTGAGAAAAGGAAGTAGACAATAAAACACTACGATCTACATATCAAACAAAGAAGCTACTGGTAGTCTCAGAACAATGGACTGTCCACCCCAGAGTCCAGACCTCAACATCACTGAATGTGTTTGGGATTGCTTGGATTTTGAGGAAGAAGGAAGAAAAACAACTTCTAAGACTGAACTTTGGAAAAATATCCCTGTAGATTTTGTTAAAAACTGAAAGCAAGTCTCCCAAAAAGATTGGAAGCTGTAATAAAGGCAAAGGGTGGACACTTTAAGTAAAATTTGATATTATATATAGTTGTTGTTTAATGGACTTCTTCGTAATTTTCTGTTAAATATGTTTTCTGTTTTCCCCTGATGCTCAAAATTTAATATCTTGTAACTAATGGCTGGAAATTAAATAAATGACCGGTGGTTTCAGACTTTTGCACAGGACTGTATGTATAAACTTATTTCTAGTTACATATCTAATACATTTCCATAGGCACACCCTATTGACATGCCTGGCGCTGCAGAGCGGTTTGGCACAGTTGACGGTCATGCTAAAATGGTTGGCTGCTATGCATTTAAGTGATCCAGCAGCTATGCAGTGAGATCTTTTCCACTTGTCTTCAGTCATTACCGTTTATTAATAATGTGTCACATTAAAGTTAGAATAAAATAACTTATGTGTTGTCCATCATGTTTGAAAACTATTAGATTAACATATTTTTTGGTTTACTAACCAACCAACTACCAACCAATCTGATATCATAAATACACTATATGTCCAAAAGTTTGTAGACACCTGCATATCTTCTGAAATTAAGAATATAAATAAGGAGTTTGATCTGCAGTAACAGCCTGTATTCTTCTGAGAACACTTTTCACTAAATGTCGGAATATTGCTTTAAGGATTTCATTGCATTCAGCCACAAGAGCAATAGTAAAGTAAGGTACTGGTGTTAGATGATTATTTCTGGATCACAAATGCCACTTAAACTCATCCCAAAGGTATTGGATGGAGCTCCATCACTCCAGAGAACACAGTTCCACTGCTCCACAGCCCAAAGCTGGAGGGCTTAATACCCTTCCAGGTGATGCTTGCCAGTTCGGTCACCTTAGGCCAGTTTGGTGTCTTACAAGTTCAATCACTTGTGTTTGAGCAGGAAAATCACCAAACTGTGCTGGAGTCCAGCCATCCAGGACCAGAGTTCCCCACCCTGCCATTCATGTGCAGCCACTACAGTGTGTCCTATTCTAAAGGCGTCTAATTCTATAGAAGGGGTGTCTGGATACTTCTGGACATGTAATGTGTTGTCACTCAGTCACCTTGATGGTCAAATTTCTTGCTGTGTGGTCAAGACACTTCTACTGATTTAGAATAATGTGTCTTAAAGGGGTAGTTTAATAAAAGTCTAAGTTTATAGCATTTGTCTCTTAAAGGTGATCCGCTAAGACATGTTTTAAGTTTGCTAAAGCAGCTAACAACTTGCCTATGTGGTTGTGAGGAATATGGTGAGGTGCTTCCGTTATTTTGTTAGCTACATTAGCCTTGTCTCCTCATTGCAAAACTAAGTGATCCTGAGACACTAGGGCAAATACATTTGGAGTACGGAGGTCAATTTGTAAATTTTATTTTTGATTTTTTTGCTTAGCAGAACATACTGAAGTGAACATAACAAAACACACTGTAATCTACTCGTTGCTGTGTAACTCAGCAGCTGTTATACAACCTACCAATAAGGCGGGGGTCTCAAACTACCGGCTTGTGAGATAGCTATGTATGGGTTGTCACAACTTCAGCCCACAAATTTTTCCCTGGTTTCCTGTGTCTAAATATTTACAACTGACCCAGTAGATTTGCTTCATTCACCAGACTGTGGCAGGTTATCTGAGCTTTATAAAATCAGCTTAGGGTGATGCATACGATGTTAAAAGCAAAAATACAGCGCTGCTTGCAAGAGGAACCATCCAAACAGAAACCTGACGGGGCATGAATGCCGCACTTTAAGCAGGCCAGCTGTAATTTAACTATAACTTAATTGGCTATTATTCTAATTTAGACCGATAGTTGATTAAATCTACCTTTGTGGATTCATTCTTGACATAGCAGTATGTCAGAATTAAGAACTGCATGTAATTATTTAGTGAATGCACTGGGAACGCAGCATTAACTGCTGATTTTTACACTACCACAGTGTCACGTAAGTTTAACAGTAGAGTTATATATATATATATATATATATATATATATATATATATATATATATATATATATATATATATATATATATATATATATATTAGTTTTCGTTATTATTGTTATTATTAGTAGTAGTAGTTGTGGTTTGTGGTGACCGCTAATAAAGATTGACTAGGATACCTAAATTATATGCTTAGTTCAAAAGATGATTTCTTGCAGTTAAAGACAACAGGATCACCATCCGTAAAATAACAGAATAATCTGTAAAAACCGCTAAATCTGAAAAACCATGCGGCTATTTGATGGAGTCACAGTAGTGTCCTCAGGGAAATGTGAGGTGATGTTTGAATGCAAAGGGCAGTCTCCACAGAACTGTCCTTTGTTCCCTTGAGCCCCGCGTTCAGAAAATCTGTCCTTTTTTTCCGGCCACACTTCATGAATCTTCCTCCCAGACGGCTCCTCATCATCTTTCACTCTCACTGCATGCAATACAGCAACATTCATGCTTGATGGGCTGTGTGAGTGTGTGTGTGTGTGTGTGTGTGTGTGTGTGTGTGTGTGTGTGTGTGTGTGTGTGTGTGTTGGGGTATGTGGGTCTCAGCTTGGTTTGACTTTGATTGCATGTTTTCTGTTGTTGTTATTTTCCTCGCAGACCTCCTTGTGATTTCTATTGTTGTTTTTCTGTTTATTTTTGGGGCGGGGTTTATTTTGTGGCTTTGCGGGGGCCTTTGGTTTGTCCATGGCTTTGCTCCATAGATTCCTGTATCGCAGTCCTCTGTCATGGATGACATTGAGGAGTGGCTCTGTACTGATGTGGTGAGAATTCTTTACCTTGATTTCATTCTGTCTTTGTTTTTGCATCTTTCTGTGGTGTCGTTCCATGTTCATTTCATGTAACCTGATAAATCACTTTAGATTTCTTATCTACTTTATATGTAATTAGCAGTCATTTGTTTTCCACCAATCATATTAACACAGTCTACAATCAGGTTTGCCACTCATCCATACTCATACCATGAAACTAACTTTGTAACTGGGGAACACTAAGTTACTAAGCAGTGGGAAATTACGTAGAGGGAGTGTCTTACAAGGGTTTTTTGTCACTTGGTTTGTTGTTTGTGTTCACATATTACATACAAGTGTTTTAAAAGCCTAAGAGAATGGTGGTGGGTGAATGTTTCAATAAAGTGGTGCAAATTGTTCTGTCAATCTGGTGAACTGTCATCATCCTTGGTTGCGTTGTTTTTGTATTGGTAAACAGAACACAGTATGTAAAGCTTGATCAAACTTGAAAGTGGTTTGCCCCATTGTCCTAAGTGGAAGAACAAAAAATGAAAGTGTGCATGATTGTTATAAAGCTACTTGTCTTGTGAAGGTGTACTTCAAGGTGGGTATCAACGACTTGTTTGTCTGGTCATTGATCAAGCACTCAGCCATTGTGGTGGGTTTCAATAAATAAATAAATGAATGAGGCAAGACTGAAATTGAAATAATTGTGCTTCTTCTGTCTCCTACTAAACAGAAAGGTGATAAGGCTGAGGAGGGGGTCACTAGTGAAGGTAGGAAATGGGGCTTTAAAATTAATTATTCCTTTGACATTAAAATTACTTTGAAATGAATATCTGTATACATACACTACCATTAAAAGTTTGGACACACTTGATTTTAAAGACGTGGTGAGGGGAAACTAAGATATTTTTTGTTATTTAATATATTTTCTTTGCATATAACCGCTTCAGATTTACACATAATGTCTTTTGACTTATGTTCAAAAAAATAAAATTGATTGGCGGAAAAAAGTAATCAGACACCACAAATAATAACATTAGTACTTTGTTGCAAAGCCGTTGTTGGCAGTTACATCGCCATGAAGTCTGCTGTGAGAAGTAATAAGCTTTTTGCACAACTGTAGTTGAATTTTGACCCATTTCTCCTGGAAAACTGCCTTCGGTTCCCCAAGGTAAGAGGGTTCCTCTGTTGGACTCACAACTACAAAATTGTCCCTAAATTTCTGATGGGATTCCAAGGCCAAACAAGCACCTTCACTTTAGAAATCAGTCTTGAGTTATTTTGGCTGTGTGTTTAGGATCATTGTCTTGGTCAATTTAAATTCCCCTCTAATGTCTCCCAGTACATCGCATTTATTCGATTCAATAATATGTAATGCCCCAGAGAAGCAGCCCCATATCATTAAGCTTCCACCTTCGTACTTCACTGTGGGTCTGGTATTCTTGGGATTATCTGCACAATCCTTCTTTCTCCCAACATGAGCCGCTAAGTGATGCTCAACGAGTTGTATTTTTGTTTTGTCTGACCAGCGTGCATTGTTCCAGCAGAGTGCTCATATGTCCAAATGTTTGCGTGCAATTTTAAATTCACATCTGTGTGCTTCTTTTTTAGCAGAGGAGTTTTGCGTGGAATATAGGAACAGAGTTTGGCCATGCTCCAGCAGAAAACAATGTTAACCAGTAATATCATGTTTTAGCTTAATGTTTTTTTTGTGACTGCGTAATTCCATAGTTCATAGTTTTGATGTCTTAACGATTGTTCTAAAATGTGGAGAATATAAAAATGGAAAGGGAAAATCTTTCATGAGTTAGGTGTGTCCAGACTTCACAGGTGGCGCATGTCTAAATAGTACCATGCATGTTATTGTGACTGAAAATGTATTTAATCATAACTTCATTAAAACCAGCACCAGTGTTTTATCATAAATATCCTTCTTCATTGGCTGTTTTCTAGAGTTCGACAAATTCCTAGAAGAGCGGGCCAAGGCTGCTGATGCTGCTTTACCATTGCCCCCCAGAGGAGAGCACAACCCTCCCGTAAGTGCGCCTAGCAGCAGCCGCAAGAAGGCAGAGCGGACTGAGGACACCCTCTTTGCCTTATAGAGTGCAGATGTTGGAGATAAGCTTCACCTACTGGAGACACCCCCTGTGCTCCAGCTCTGTTGCAGCGACCACCACCCTCATACCTTGCCAATGTCCAAATGCCTGCCGCCCCCTTACTGCGCTCTGCATCTCTATCGCTCTCCTGGTGCGTCAAAGGTTTCCCTGTTCTGTTCCACCACCTCAGTTCCTCTGGCTGGAGCAAGGCTGCTTCTACACTGTGCGATATGGCTCCTCTTTAAGGCTCCTCATGGCTCTGCCTGTGCCTTCAGGAGCAGAGGGATGCAGTAAAGTCTAGTAGATATTACAACTTCAACCAGCGAGGTTCTCTGCAAGGAGGTTGTGTTGGAAATTGTAAGTTTGTTTTTTTGTGATTTACATTGAGTTTATTTAATGTGCTCCAGTTTATTAACAGAACATGTAATATACTAAGCCTGTGGAATCTTGCTTGCGTGGAAAGCATTGTTGTATCTTGCACTTCCCTTGTTTTACAGACTAATTTGAAATATGCCATTCCGTAAAATGTGTTTGCTGTTCTTATAGTTACATACAAATAAGCCATTCCTGTGTAATATATAGTCGCTGTCATATCAAAACCTTTGATATTAAAACTCTTTTTTCAGGTTTTTTTTTGCATCATTGGAAAATGCCAGCTTCTACTCACATTGCGTGAACATTTCATTTTAAATGAACCAATAGAAATGGTCCAGAATTACATTACTGATGTTAAAGTTAAGAACATGTTTTGCTTCTCCATTTCTGAGATAGATATAACATTTTGGTATGACAGTGACAATATCTAATCTAGTGCTAAGGATTAGCAGTTGCCTAATTGAAAAGAAAGGGAAACAAACAAAAAAAATCATGTGTTCTGTGCTCCTTCCTTGTTGAATATTGGCTTGGTGAATCAGCTGCATTCTCATGATCATCAGACGCTAACCAAAGACAGTTTAGCTCAAACATGCTGTCCTACAGACTTACTGAAAAAAAAAAAGATTTGATCACTCTTGTTCCAAAGAGCAGCAAAATCTGTCAGTTTGTTATTGTGAGAACAAAGTGATATAAAACAGTGTTCAGAGTGTTTAATTACCCTCAAGAAAAGTTGTGTTTGTAGAAAGTAGAACTTTACTTTCATTATTGTATATTATTGTCCATGGGTGGTTAGTTGTCTGCGTGCTTTTTGCACTAGCCTTGTTTCAGACTCTCCTGAAATTCCAGCCCTGTAGCAAAGAAAAGCACACAGGAAAGTCTGTCAGAGTTGTTTTTTTTGTCTTACATACATGCCACCCCTCTAGTTCAAAACTGGATCCAAAGGAAAGCTGTGCAAAAAGCAAATTTAAAAGAGAGCGGAATGAATTTGTTTGGCGATAGGATTCAGCTTACGGTATTACATAATGGTAGCATCATTTGTAAACTATGTATTCATATGTATACATAAATAGGTGTATATGCATCACAAAAGTGTTTATTTTAATCAATCTTTGTCGTAAATTTTGGGCAAGATGTTCAGAAAGTCTGTTCAGTTTTGTATATTTCTTATGTCTTAGTTTGTGACACCATGCAAGAAAACTGAATTACATTAAACCCAAGTAGTTGCACAAAAACTACTATCTGAATATCGTCGCTGTCGGATCAAATTCTTGTAACTTTTTTTTTGGTCCAAAATAACTTCCTAAAAATATTAGTACTTATAAATTAACTTACATTAAAGGTTAAGAATGTGTTTTTTTTCTGTTCCTCTCAAAAGTCACCATTCTGAAGATACAAGATTTTTGTTCTAACAGCGACAATATAGTGTTTATACTGTTTAATGATCTAACTGACAGTGGTGATGGTAGATGTGATATGTTAGGTAGATGGATAGATGAAGTGTTGACTTATATTACTGGGAGGCCGTCTAGTGTAGTGTAGGAAGAAAGGAATGAGAGTACAGAGAGAAAGGTGGTGAAATGATTGGGAGCTCACATAAGGGCAGGTATGAGATGTTTGGCTCAGTGACATTCAGTTTGATTTACCACGTTCGGCAGCTCTAAAGGCACAGTTCAGTTAAACAGTGCACTTCGTTATGCCCTATGTATACATTGGACAGTGTTGGTCTTCTCTAAGCAACAAAACGGAGCTATTGATCATAAACAGCTAGTGATAAACAAAGGTCACGTGAAATGTGTCCAGAAAGAACAAAAACGCTGCTGTCTCTGATACCAAGTCTGTAGGAAAAGTCCAGCTTTGAATTTCTTAAGAATTGATCAACATTCGGTCTTCAGCTGTTTGACCTGATATATTGTTTTACCATAAACATTGTAGTTATAGTTCCTCTACATCTGAAGTTTACCTTCTGCTAATATGACACTGAAACACACCAGCCTACCATAAATCAGAGCAGCAATGAAAATAAAACACTGTTATTGTCTTTAGATGGTTCTGCTATATGCTTTACTGAATAATTATAAACCAATATAAAAGAGCTGAATTGAACTGTATTGTAATGGTTAAAAAGACCCTAAATCAAAACCATAATTAATCTTAAACCCATGTTACATGTTACTGCTTATAAGATAAAACATTATGTTTTTGTTTGTTTATAATCTTCTGTTGCTTAAACCAATGAAACTAAGAGCTGTCAGTAATCCGTCTGTGTTCTATAAAAAGCTTTGCTTTCAACTGAGGTGGCAATCGTTATTTGTAATAACTGCTTTAATGAATGTTACCATGTGACATTAAAAGTCTTAACTATTTTGATTATTTATCTCAAAGATTAATGTCTGTGTATTTTAGTATATTGAAATGTAATAAAAATTTCCTATTGTGACATTTAATGTTTCACGGTTTTGTTTTATTAAAGTGATCCAGAGTCGCATTTGATAAAGCAAACCTCATCTCATCTTTTTTGATCAATCAGACTAAAAGCAAATGGTGTGTGTGTGTGTGTGTGCATCTGTACGAATGGCAGTTTATATGTTAACATAATTCATAACTGGGCAAAACAAGCTGTTCAAGGTGATGTTGATCAGATTATTGGTACATGGCCCTACGCCAATAACTTGAAATGCCAATAAAGCGTCATTGTATGATTAAGATTTTAATGTGTGAGAACAATTAAGGGAAGTTCATTAGAATAACAGGTACATGAGACAAACACTGAAAATGACATCTTTTAAAAAAAGATACATAGACAATAATGGGCAAAAGTCCCCTGTTTAAGAGCAGCGTCCATTTATTGCAAACAAAACCATGTGTGACCCCCCCCCCACCACACCCCACTCAGGAAATCTTGCATTAACTTGTCATCTAGGTTTTACAGAATGTATCATTTATAGGTGTAATCATTTCTAGTCTTTTTTTTTGTTGTGACAGCACTATTTAATTTTTTTCTACTATATTTTTAGATTCTCCAAGTTTCTGTCAATTTATGTATAATAAATTATGACAAAAGACAAATAGCAACAGTAGAAAAACCTGAAATTAGCATGTAATACTAATGCTAACTAGCCAGAGAAACCCCAGTGAACAACTTTGATGAAAAACTAAATAAGTAATATTTTGTGGGTAATATTTTGTGGGGACTTCTTACCCCAAAAGTCTACATCTACATTTTCTTTTTTTTAGCTCTTAAAATCAAATGTACTGCTCTCTCCACTATACTGCGCCCCCCCACCCCAATCATTTTTATTGAACAACTTTATATAAAAGCATAGATCACTGTTTTCCAGTGACAAATTAGATTGATTGGCCTTGAAAACTGTGAAGTATAAATAAAATAAATCCTAGAAATGGAGTCATAAAGATGACATTAATTAGACCATAGCCATTCAGTAAACATGTAGATTAGATTTGGCCCAAGCATTTGGTAATGATTTATGCTGGGGTTCACGCCTTGACAGCCTTGCTGACTGCTGAGCCCTATTTCAACAGCCCTGCTGTTGCACTAAAGGACTGTGTTACTGTCGGTCGTTGACCCACTTCACCTTGCCTCACTTGTTGCCATGTTTTGTTGTGGTGTCACTAATTATGCATCATAAAGTATAACATAAGATGATGAAGTCATATTTCAAAATATTGATCTTATATTTCAACACTGGTAATAAAGCAACTTGCAGCAAAAACTTTCAAGGGTATAAATATTCCATTTTCATAAATACATTTTCTATAGGATAAAAATGCTTAAACATCATCATTATTATTATTATTATTATTATTATTATTATTATTTCAGGATATAAATGTGTATGTGTGTGTAGTTAGTCTCTGTGGGGATTTATATCTGATAAGGTCTTCAGTCCCCTGTCAGGCTGCTCTACCTTCATTATTCGAGGAGAAATTACATGATGTAATCACGGGAGCCACATTTGTGATGTCATATCACCCCACTCGGTTTCTGCGTCCCTATTGGCCAGTTTCTCTGGTTCTACGGGCGGAGCCGGCTCTGCGGATCAGACAAGCATGAATAACCAAGTCCCGCCCCCGGAGAACTCCGGTTGGCTGACAGAGACATGCCCACCGACTCCGTCACCATGCTGCTGTTGTGTGAGACTCGAGCTTGCAGTTTTGTAAACAAGTGGTTCAGGGCTAAAATAAAATTATTTTTCTACAAACTGTTGTTTCGTGTACAAGTATAAGCTCACCAGCATTCCCATAAATACACTTGGTGCTCCTGTGATTTAATAACACTATTATGAATGCTCCACTAGCTTAATCTGTTTACTGTGGAGAAGATAAACCTTAGCAGTACAGAGACAATCCAAAACATTTCTCGTTTTTCGTTATGTGATGCAATTCATCAGTTGCAAAAGCCAAAGACAGTTAAAAAAGCAACAGTCGCTTACAGATGTTTAACCTTCATTTAAACGCGTTCAACTGTAGTTAAACTGTAAGAGTCTCTCTACAGACCACTTGCTAGCAGCGTGTGAGGATTTGTGGAGTCAGAGAGGCGGGCTCTGATTGGCCGGAGCGAGAGTCGATCACAGTCCGCTCTCCAGGCTTTGCCTGGTTTCCCCGTTAGCGCGCTAGTGCTCTAACCAAAGTGTTTAGACAAGTTTGCCTTGTTCGATAGCATGGAGATGGCTGCTGGCAGGTAGTTGACACATCAGTAGCAAAAGTTGGATTTCTCCGAAGTTAGCGGAACCCTTTTCAACAAATGTCCCTGCACATCCGCTTGGCTCTGAATTGCGAGAAGTTGAGACTTTACATGGAATAACGTTTTTTTCTTTGGGATCCAAACACTCTACAAGTCCTCTAGCAAGCTCCGAAGCGACTCTTTTGTTGGGGAAACATGAATAATTTGTCGTTTGACGATCCGTCACTGGATAACTTGGACCCAAGTTTATCCCTAAATGATCCAAGCGATATCGACACGGCTCTGCTGAGCGACATTGACGGTAAGAGAGAGTAAACGTGTTAAGTCAGCTAGCCAAGCTGCCTAGGATAGCCGACTTGTTCATACTGTCTTCGTTGTCATTGGCCAGTTCCTTTAAGTGTTTTTGACTGGATAGAACTAAGCAGTAGCATGTAGCCAGCCACAAAATGTTGATGGACAAATACACGTGTTCGCAGCTGCCTAAAGTGGAAGTGATACCGTTTGTGTGTGTGATTAATACACTAACACAGGCTGCATGACATATGCTGTCATATCCACTCTGCTCTATTCCTACACGGATCCTGTTTTGTATATTAATCACAGTATGCAGCCTTAGCAAAGCAGACCCTGTTAGCATTGCCGAAGTGGTAGACCCGCTGTGTGTGGGGTGATGCTGAGTCGGGCGTAACGGAACACTCAGCCATAACTGTACAACTAAACATCGTCTTACTGCATAACAATACTCAGAATAATGTCTACACCAGGTGTCTACTTTTACAGCTAAAAAGTAAGCAAATTAGCTTTTCACCATCTCTCCATCGCCATTGTCTCGAGTGTAAGTTGCCGCCGTAGTGCCCCGCCCCCTCGAACTTGGGCAAGTGACGTCACCAGAGGTTACTGCCGTTCATTCCCCTTGCAGCTTCCAGCTAGCTGGGTTAAAAAATGGGGTAACCTCGAACCCAGTGGCCTCCTAATGATCAGTTTTACAGTTCAGACATCCAGTCCACGATGGTTTTTGTTTCAGCATTTTTTTTTTAGCATAATAGTGAACAATAATTTATTTCAGTGAACAAGTGCATTGGCTGTTGAGGATGTGTATGATGATTTATTTTTTAATTTAGTTAATGTGTTATTTTACATTAATTGCCATATTTAACCAGCTCTTGTCCAACAAGTAAATTTAGTCAGTTCCACAGAAATTTTGTATAGTTATACCTTGGATAAGCATCTAACAGTGATCTTTATTATGTAGTCATACATGCATTTATTTATTTATTTAACTGATTACATAATTTTATCATCATAGATTTATTCAAAAACAAATTTGGATTTTTTTTTTGTTTTGTTCATAATCATTATACCGAACAACACAATGTAATATGACATAGTCAGTGATATAAAACCCACTTTCTAGCGATATTTGTGCACTTTCTTTAAAATTGTGCTCAGGCGAGCTCAGAGGACATATGGATCGAATGACACTTTAAATATTAGATACAAACATCAATGGATAAGTTATTTGGCGCTTAATTTTCTCTGAGACTGAAACGAGAGCAAAGCGGAGTAACCGTGAGTAACCTCGCACTGCTGCGTGTCCGACAGTAACCTCCCCTCGCAGAGCTGCAGCCGCGCGCTCTCCTCCCTCCGGCTCTCAGAGCTGCTCCGCATAGCAAGGCGCGTTCTCGGCCTCTGATTGGTCGAGAGCGATCACCTCATACAAAACACTGGTTTACAAATTCAGCGCTGCCATGTTTGTGCACAAACAGGGAACGAGACTCTTATGGCGGAGGACTTGTTAATTAAATGTAATTTTTAAAATATTGTCAGATGAACTTATTTCTTGCTGGTAAAAACTACAACTACACAAGATGATGTGGAAAACTGTGGCTCTAAATGCGACACAGTCAGAATCTCGGACAGAAAATATCCTCGTTGCATGTAATGGCCGGCCATCCTATACAAAATGTGGCTTAACCTGACCTAGTTTGGATGACCACTCATTAAATGCACACATTAGGTAGAACAAGGCTTCATTGTGGGCTCTGTGCTCTGAAATGTCACAGCAGTCCTGAGCCCTGCATTTAAAATGATTCCTCCTCAGACTGTTGAGGCTGAGTGGGCCACTGGTAGAGAAAACTAATGAGCTTGACCAGACTGCCTCTGTGCCCTTGCTGGAAATTAGCAGTGCTGAATATGAAATCCTTTCCTGCTCTATTAGCAGTCAGCTCACTGGTGTTGCTCTGCAACTGGCCTTACCTGCCAGTTTCAGCAAGTAAACTGAGTTCATTTCACAGTAGCTTTGATCAAATGTTTGCTTGGAAGCTTTACTTAAGGGCTTCGTACAAAGCGTCTCTCACTCTGTGAATTGTCAGTGAAGGTGAAGATAAGAGTTTGTATTAAAATATGTGCATGTATTTGGAACAATGAAATAAGGCCTTGTTTGTCTAGTTCTAGCCTTGTGAAGTTGTGTCTCTAAGGATTATTCCTTTTTTCAGAAACTGCAAAGCAGTCTTAGCAAGTGTAGAGTTGACAGGATGCCTGCCTTTTGTTTTTGTTTTATATTTTTTAAAATGTAAAAAAAATCCTCAGTGCTCCCTTTGCCTCTATTTTCTATCCCGTTTCTCAGACATGCTGCAGCTCATCAACAACCAGGACATGGAGTTCGGCAGCCTGTTCGACCATGCACCTTTCCCGGCCCCTCCGGCTCCTGTGCAGGACCTTTCGGCCCTGCCTTCCTCCAAC